AAACATAAATACGGATTCAATTTTTAAAATAATAAATTATATGGAGCGAGAATTATCAAAGGCGCTAACCTCTGAACTCCACCAATAATTTAGCGCCTTTCCTGAGGCGTTAAACCTTAGTGCCTTTTCTAAGGCGGCAAACTTTAATAGCGCCTTTTAAAGGCGTTCTTTAACGCCTTTGTTTTACCAGTGTTCTTGGTGTGTGCCTGCGTCTTCACGCAGGTTCCTGCACGTGTGTGCGTTTGTGTGTGTGTGTGTGTGTGTGTGTCTGTGTTAGTGAACCACAGCACAAACTGACCAAGAAGTTCGTTTCTCCGCTTTGCAGACTCGCTCGGATTATTCATTTTGTTTATTTATTTATCATCTTTGCACAAACTCTCCGCGCCGCCGGACGCCCGCGCAAACAAGGAAAAAGGTGTTTTTGTTTTTGTTTATTTTTTTACAAAAAAAGGGCGGGAAAATAACAAATAAATGCGTAGTGCCAACACGCGCGCCACAGACGTAGCCCGGCTCCAGCGTCAAAGAGACGCGCAGAGACGGAAATGAGGCAGCCGTGAGAAGGAGAGAGAGCGAGAGAGAGCGAGAGAGAGCGAGAGAGAGAGAGAAAGAGAGGGAGAGAGAGAGAGACCGCTCTGCTAGCTTTCTGAATTGAATCAGCTGCAAGGAGGGTGTCCTCGCTGATGCAAAACGGGTTTAAGGAAAAAAAGGGGGGAGGGGAGAAGAGACAGGACCGTGACGGCCCGCGACGTGGGGCCTTGGCGCCTTGCTCCGTGAGGGGGCTGCAGAGGGGCGGGGGCCGGCGGGGGCACTTCCCTGGCAGATAGGGACCTTGAGTCGCGTCGGCGTCGCAGGCATCCCCGACAGTCACCTCCACGGAGGCGTGGGCGTGGACATGATAACCCCATCAGTTTGTGTCGTTTTGTTCGTTCGTTGTTGTTGTGTGGTACTTCCCCGGGGAGGGGGGGGGAGGGGCAGTGAGTAACAAATGCAGACCTTTGTTCAACAAGCCTTTAGGTCTTATATGAATGCGCCTAGTACGTAATACATTCGATCCGAGCAACTCTTGGGCTTGGTTAAGGTCCAATTTGTCCTTTTAAGGCGGATTTACCTAAAATGTTTACATACGCTGAAAACGCAAGTGTGTGAATGTCGCACACCTGCAGGTGTAAATTAGAGGGGTAAAAGTGTGAATTTTTCCTAAACAATTCACACGTTTACCCCCTGATGTGTACGAATGGATATTCACACACCTGCAAGCCTGCAAGTGTGCGACATTCGCACACTTGCGTTTCTAGAGTAACTCTACTTTTATAGCCAAATTCCAAAATCCGTTTCACACTGCCCCTGCCCCACCCTCCCGAAGTCTGTGTGCGTCACACGTATTTTTAAAGTGTTCCAGAAACGCAGTTACCAAACACAGAGAGGTTCATCACTCCACTCCGAGAGAATGGGAGTGGAAGGCAGCCCCCCCGCTGTCCGTCCGTCTCTCTCTCTCTCTCTCCCTCTCTGGCCTCCGTGTCCCGGCCGTTATTAGGTTATCACGTAGCGCGTGTCTGCATCATACTGTATCGCACCTGACAGCTTATTTGCATGTTAATTCATTCGAGGGGCGCCCGTGCCATGTCGGGCCACACCCCGCCCCGCCACACCCTGCTGCTGTAGGTATAGGCTCCACCCCGCCCCGCCCCGCCCCGCCCCGTACAGCGGGGCGCGGTGGCCTGGCCGTGCGGACCTAACGTGTTATTAGACCCTTCGAGGTCGAGTGTGATCACATTACACACCCTGTACTGTAGCCTGCGCTGCTGTAGCCGCGGGCCTGCGGCGGCGCAGGTGCGGTGAGGGGGCGAGCGAGGAGCGAGCGAGAGAGAAGAGAGAGTGGGGAGGCAGTGAGAAGAAAAAGATAGTGAAGGGAGAGATCGGATGGAGAGAGGATAGAGAGAGGATAGAGAGAGGGTAGAGAGAGGGTAGAGAGAGGGTAGAGAGAGGGTAGAGAGAGGGTAGAGAGAGGGTAGAGAGAGGGTAGAGAGAGGGTAGAGAG